CACACACACACACACACACACACACACACACACAGAGTTATTTGATCAAATTGAAATGTATTTGGATTAAATAATCCAAATGTATAGTTCATATAGGCACAAAATAATTCAAAATAATTAATCTGATCATGACGAGTGTTTACAGGCACCAGGCTTTTGCCTGGTGCCTGTAAACACTCGTCATGATCAGATTTTATCCAGAACAGAAGTACTGATATGTGTAAAGTTATAAACACTCTACTACTGTGATGAACATAAACGTCTTCTGAGCCCAGAACACTTCAGGTTTTCATACCCGTGGAGGCGTCACTGCAGACGTGTTCCCACACCTTCAACCATCAAAGTGTTTCATCATTTTAAGCTCTTTCAAAGTTTCTAATAAAAATATTGCATCGCTAATCGACCAGTTTTGCTTCCTCGACATATTAGCATCCAGCCAGGTGGTAATACGTCAGGTTGATCTATGGCTCACACACACAGTCAGGTCAGTTTTCCACACATCAGATTAGGTGCTTACACACACGTCATTCAGATCATCAAACACAAACCACCCCTCTCATTCAGAATACAAATTAATGTGGATCAAGCTGAATCAGATCAGAATATTGTGAGGCTTTACATGATGCTTTTTTATTTTGACTGGCCGTTTATTTATTACCCATGTCTGTGTAAACACAGCTAGTGATAAAAGAATGATGAAAGATTTTTGTCTTAATCTTTAAAAACTTAAACCACTTTAAAATAGGAGATAAATAACTTCAAATGTGTTGTCGATATTCATAAAATGTCAAAAAATAAAGAATTATTAAAAACAAAAATATAAAAAAAAATCTTTTGTGTGATAGTTTAAATTAGTATTGTTAAAAACTATTTAGAGCAATGATCCAAGTTATTGATCATTTGGTCATCAGGTGTCCTCATGGCTGAATGTGATCAATGAAGCAAAAAGCTGCTAATCTCATTTGTTCTGTAAAGTGAAGGTAAACAAACAGTCAGCTGATGGGGATCAACAGGCTTACACAGCAGAGGCATCATGTCTTCTCAAAACAAAACTGTTTATTGGTGTTTTTGGAAACATGGTGAATAATTTTGTTTTGTTGGGAGAACTGAGAAAACAGGATGAAACAAATCTTTTTATGATTGCACACAGCTCATTCTCTCAGCAGTAGGGCTGCCACAAACGATTATTTTAATTCGATTATTTATTTGATTAGTCGACTAATCGGATCATACATTAATTGAATATAAAACAGAGCTTATCACGCCAGAATGCAGCTGCTATTATATAACCATGGTTAGATTTTAGCTATATGCTAACTAAAAATAATTGCTGTGGAAGGRAAGTTCTGCTCTGCAGATATTACARAGGTTTCTCTTTCATTTTCTTAAAAWGATCCCACACTTTGAGCTCTGTTGTCAGGTAGCCATGATACCAGAGCCTGTCTGTATAATGTCTTGTGACGTCCACGGCCTACCCCAGTTACCACTACTGTGCATGTGTGTCAACGACAGAAAGGCAGATGTGGCAGTGGAAGGTGTCAAAGCAGTTTGGAGAGAAAAACAAAGTAAAGAACAAAAATAAGAAAACGATTAATCGATTATCAAATTAGTCATCGATTATTTTAATAATCGATTAATCGATTAATCGTGGCAGCCCTATTCAGCAGTGCATTGAAGAAAATGAACTGTGAAAGATTCCCAGTCAGTGGTTTAAAGAGTGCTGCTTACATCGAGGTAGTTCTTGAGAGTTTCTGGAGTGGGGCTGTTACTGGAGGGGAAGCCCAGGTTGTACTTAAGGGAGTGTTTGTTGAGCAGAATCTCCTCGACTCTTCTCCCCGAGTCCGTCAGCTCTCGTCTGATTGAACGGAACTTCTTCAGAGGAATTCTGAAGAGGAAACAAAAAAAAAAAAAAAAACTCAATAAGTTTAAAGTCTTAAACAACACCTCAATGCCAACACAATTTAAATGATCAGAATAGGTCATTCAGATTATTTTTTTAATTTGAACACTCATTGTTTGTCTTTAAAAATACAGCTGGACAAACAGCATGTATTAAAAAATAAAATAAAGAAAGAAACATAAAAAAGAAAGAGAGTGTTTCAGCTTGATTTGTTTGGCCAGAGTCATGTGATCAAAAACGTCCAAAGATTAAAGAAATAAAGTTTTGTCACTGCTTTGGTACCTGACTCAAACATTTATGAGGAAATGAATCACTTGTGCTGGATAATCTGCTCAGATATATATAATGTAATGACTGATAATAGTAGAAACACAAATCATGAAAAAATAAACAATGCTAAATAAGAGATGTGCAGAAGATTAACAGGTATGAGACACAAAAATACTGAATTCCATATTTTAAATAATGTATTCAAAATAACCACAGGGAGGTGGTCTCTAAATAACTGTCCATCATCATACAGCTCGTCTACAACCAGGGATGCATGTTTAATGTTTTGCAGTTCATACTTTTTGGATGTGTTACTTGCTCATTCAGTTCCTTGTGTTTGAATTATACTAATTTCAGCACGATTCATTCAGGTCCTTTGATCGTTTACCAAGGTGATGACATCTGTTGAAAGTTATACTTCAACCTGCTTTTGGTGAACATTTTAGATCAGCAATCATGAATTATTTTGTTGCCATTTCTGGGTTATCTGGAGTTTGTTTGGTAAAAAGGAGGTTGTCATGCATAGAGTGGGTCTAGTAAGCCCAAAACCTTTTTTAATAAATACTGAACAACTGCTCCGAGTCTGTTATCTTAATGTCAGAAGTATACTTCACACAACTAAATCATACCATGGGGTGGCAGCTAAGGAGGGTGCAAATCAAGCAGAGATGAGTATCAAGGTTGTGCACGGCCAAGACTGCAGTTTGACGAGCTGAGCACAGAAATAAGCTGCCATGTTCAAAACCCATTCTTGTTGGTTACCAGCTCACAAAAACTCAGAGCTCGATGGAAAAAAAAAAACACATTTTTTCCTCACAATCCTGAGTCACCAACAAGTCCTGATCAGTTGCTGCTCAGTGAAGGTTTCTCTGAGTCAAATGATGTAAAAACACCCCTGAGCTTCTGTGAAGTGTGTGAGACCAACTTTTCTTCCTGAGAGTGTGTGATGTGTGTGGTGTGCTGACATGTTGATCAGTCCTCCTGAGTTTTACCTGCTGCTCCAAAGTGTCTGAAACAGGCTGACTTTTGTTTTGCAACATCAGAGGTTTAAAAACACATGATTTAAATCCTCTGCAAAATCTCAACTTGTTTTTTTAACCAGTTTCTAAACTTGGCTGCAGGATCATTTTCCTGAGTCAAATGCAAGTTTACTCATTTACACAAAAATGAAAATAGTTTATTTTTATATTCAGTTTCTATCCTGTCTGTTTTCTTCTTGGTCAGTTTAAAGCCGGCTAAACGACCTGAGCTCCTGAGCCGGAGAAAAACACTGATGGTTTTACAGAACCAGGGTTTGTTCACTGAATTATCACAAACCTTTTACATCATCATGTTCACAATGAGCAGTGGATAAAGCGACGTTAATCACCGAAAAGCTTGTGTAAGTTGGATGCTAATGGAGTTAGCACCAGTCTTAGCTTCAGTAACAACAACAACTCTTTCTTTAAACTTACCGAACCACGGCGTCGTTAGTCACAGCCAGCACGGCCAACACGCACAGAAACAAGCTCTTCATTTTGGACCAGATTCAGAACTACAGGCACACAATGACTGCGCACTTCTTCAGCTTGTTGTGGATAAACAGAGCACTTTTATCAGCTGACTGCAGCCGAGCGAGTCACCGTCACGTGCCTGCCTGCCCCGCGCACAGAGGCGGCTCCACAAATGCTTCTTTCCGGTCAGGGTGGCCACTGAAAACCCTGGGGTGGGCGGGGCTAAAGCACTGGCCAAACG